AATTATCATTATATTTCTAACTTACTTGTTGGCTAAACTTCTTGAAACCAAAGTCCTATTTATAAACAACTTAAATATATATCAGACAGTTTACGACCTCTCCACTTTATGTTTATACATCTCATTTCAGTTCACTTTTGTAGCAGTGCAAATATTTATGTTAATTTTTAATATATTATCAATAAAATATAAATGTAAACAAAGAGAATAACTATTTTAAAATTATTTTAAATGTTTAATATATAATTAACATTTAAAAAAAAATATCAATCATAGAGTTTAAAAAAATATTTATGTTTAAGAGCCCCTAACTATATTTTGCCAACCCACCATACAAACCAACAAGACATGTATAGTTATTTGATTTTATCTATAAATAATAGAAACCAAAATAACAGTACATCATAAATTTTGATGCTCCCTTTATTTCAGTTTATTTGATGTATAAGAAAATTACTTTTTTTAATTCTAAATTACGTAATGTTTTCCCTAATGTAAATGAGTATTAATGCTTTCTGACATTTAAGACCGGTGACATAATATTATTTTATTTTTATTGAATTTACCAATATTTTTCTGTAATTAAGATAAATTTATAAAAATTAGCATTTTCAATATGTGTGCATTAATATTAAAAATCAATTAAAATGAAACAGAAAGAAATATGATTTTTGTATAACAGACACAAGGTTTCCATCTCAAGCTGGAAAGGCAATCATCCTAAAATCTGTAGCCATGTCCATGCTTATTTATGCTAAATGTTGTTTTAAACTTTCTACAACAACTTGTAAAATTTTTACCTCTTCAATGGCAGCTTTTGGTGGAGATCAAATGAAGATAAAGTGAAGATACACTGCCTAAGACTCCGAATAGAGAAAATGGATCAAGCGTACGGATCGAGCGGAACAAGAGTGGATTAATTAGATTTAACGGTTTAAAATACTGTATAAATCTACTATAATTTATATAAGATTTAAACTAATCTTTATTATTGTAGTATATATTAACTTTAATTAAATTAATTAATTTAAAAATAAATATGTACATACAACATCTTTATAGTTATTATATATATATATTGTAAATAAATAATAATTTAATTTTTAGAGTTTTGTATAATATATTTTACCAACTGATATATAAGTTTTAATGTTATATATGATATTTCTTTTAAATTTTATAATTAGTTTATTATTGGTGATCCTTATATATATTTTAGTTAGTTATTATTTATTTTCATACAAAGTTGCATTGACAATTATAATAACTTGTTTTGAAGTACCTTAAGTAAAAATATTATTTATTGCATTTACTAACAACAAGAATTGCTATTTTCTATTAGTTACCCTTGAACATTTTATATAAAATAATAATATTTATTATGTCTTTTTACAAAGAACTGCTAATATTATGGAAATGTTGTTGAAAAGTATAAAAACTGTGTTTAGAAAAATAGTATTATTTTCTTATATTTATTCACAAAAGAACTGCTAATATTTATGGATCACTTCAATTGATGAGTGTTTCTTTTGCTCCACTTTATTTGTTACTAGTGGCTGGCCCGCCCTACGGGCGGGTGTGTTTACACTAAATTTTATAGAGTTAATTGGCCGATACACCTCAAATGGGGGTCTATATTAGTCAGTTGCCCATGATGGGACATATTTATTTTGTCTGACCAAATTGCCCTTTTTCTCTCTCTTCTTCCTTCATGCACTTACATGTGGGGGTGTCACTTTTTTTTTTCCATTTTCGTTATCAATGCTCTTCTCTCCTCTTATCATTTTCAAAATGAATTACATGCAAAATAAGTATGTTAAATATTTTTGAGTCCACTTTGATTCTTAAATAATAATTGTAAATTTTAAATTTACTCAATGTGATTTGGAAATACAAAATTCAGTGATACATTTTTTTGATGATATCAATTTTCTGGGTTTTAGATTCAACGTCGTGTTAGCGGTTAACAAATATTGTAGACGTTAACAGAAGTGTTAGTTGTTAACAATTATTTTTACGCTTCGCGTTAATAAATATGTTCGCTGTTAACAAATATTGTAGACGTTAACAAAAGTGTTAACTGTTAACAATTATTTTTACGCTTCGCGGTAATAAATGTGTTGGCTGTTAACAAATATTGTAGACGTTAACAGAAGTGTTATATGTTAACAAATGTTTTTACGCTTCGTGTTAATGAGAGGAAAGAGAAAGGGTATTCTCGGCATTTCCTTGCCAAATGGTTGTGTCAGTGTCCTTTATGTCCAATCAATGGTAGTTTGCTAATTTGAGCTTCAAATAAGGGTAATTCACTAAATCACTCAATTTTATACACTAAATATATTTTATGTTAAAATATATTTTAATTCTATAAAACATTTGAAAATTTACTTTATAATAAGATAATAAATATTTTTCTGCAAAGATGTAACTGTAAATTTTATTAAATTTTCTGAAAAAATGATTTTTTAGTGAACACAAGATTATTAAATAAACAAAATTAAGGAAAATGTAATAATTTATATTTCTTCTTTTTATTTTTATTTCAATTTTATATAGTTGAAGAAAATTCAAAAGTTAAAATAACTTTTTTTCTAAGATTTTCCAAATTTAATATTATTATATTAATAATTTTCTCCCGATAATTAATTAATCCATCTTCAAGCTAAATTAATTGAAATATAATGTAATGTGATAAACTGTAAAAATGTATATTTTAAAGTACTATATAAATAGTTTCAATAATGTCATAAATAATAATTAATATATTTTATTTAACAATAAATAATGTGTTATAATATATGTTTTTCAGTTTATATTAGATTTCCAATTTATAATGAAATTTATTCAATTTTTAATATTTTATTAATTGTGTTTTGTGAATTATTGTTGAAATATTTACAAACATGTACACTCATATCTAAAGGTTACACCAACTCTGATTAGTACCTTTTTCAGATCATAGTGAACTCAAATTGAATTAATATTTGTAAGTAATAAGTTATATCAAAGAAGACATGAAGACGAAGTGTAATCATAACCGATTATAAGTTACTTTCCAAACTTAGTTACTATATAATTTTCCTAAAGTGAGATTAATGTTGTATATCAACATTAAAACATGCTAATGGACGATGGAGTAGATTTCAAGAGGTGACACTACAATTTTCAGATTAAAGAACTAAAAACATAAACAAAACATAACTATAATGATAACCTTGACCTTGAGATCCCACCAGAAGAGATTGCAAGTTGAGGAACTCTTAGCATTAACAGTGCCACCTGTGCAAAAACATATGAAACCATAAAATCCTAATGGTCATTAAGCGAAGTAAATGTTCACAGACGATTGTACATCGTTTTGGGGTTCCACTATTTTACATATATCTTGAAATGTTGGTGTAAAAGATGATTTTTAAACAGAAATTTTCATATGTTTAACTAAAAATATCTTAAAATATAACTATTACTCATTTATCTATAAACTTATCGAATTTTGAGTAGTTTCATTTTATTTAACTAACTATAAAGTTAAGAAAATATAAAAAAAAATATATGTATGGTTTGTTTTATACTCTTTCTTAAAAAATCTTATAAAAAAAAGTTTTTGCAGATTCTCAAAGAAAAAATTTGTAATTTTACTGGCAAAAAAGGTCGTAATTTTATCAGGAAAGAAATACTTGTTGTTGTTATAAACATGTGAAGTTAATCTAACATATCAAATATGAAGGAATTACAAAAAAAAATGAAAATAATTTATTTTGTTCATGGAAAAGTGTAAAGAAACGATAATTCATTAAATTTGAATATTTTACACATCTTCTGGAACTAATATGAATGTGTCTCAAAAAAAAAACGCTCACCTCTCTCTTGCTGACGTGGACGGTTCTAGAGAAAGGTGGGCCTTTAACTAATCTCTAGCTCAACATCTAACATTAAACCAGTATAATAAACCTATTACAAACCAAGACGCAAAGAGTTAATTTTTTTGGGTCAATTTCAATGAGTATTTGCTGAGGTGTCTTTTTTTGCCTCATGCTCTTTGCTGATGTGGCAGTATGAGAAGGGAGAAAAATCAGTTTTATTGTATAAGATTACTGTAGTGACCAAACAAAAAAAAAGATGTGTGCTTTTTTTTTAAGCGGTCCATAAAAGTGGAGCATTCACAAATTTGAAAAAATCTGTGATTGTGAAATAAAAGTGGATTGTCCAGTTTGAGTGTATGTACCGCTATAAGAAACGCCTTACGTTCAAACCCTAAATTGGGACAAGCTTTGTGTTCCTAAACACCTTGGAGGAATGGGTTTTAAAGACATTGAAACCTTTAACCAAGCTTTACTGGCTAAGCAAGCCTGGAGGATTCTTCAAGATCAGTCCTCTCAGTTTGGAAGTTTTTTAAAAAGCAGATACTTCCCTGATGGTGATTTCTTCACTGCCAAGCTAGGTTAAAGACCTTCCTTCTGCATGGTAGAGATCTCTTAATCAAAGGGCTTAAGCATATGGTTGGAAATGGAGAATCTATAAATGCATGGTCAACTCTTTAGCTTGCAGATGGTGATAGAATGCGTATACCTCTAATGAAGAATATTTTGATCGATCTTAATCTCAAGGTCAAAGATCTCTTGCTGCCAAACTCTCATAGGTGGGATATGGTTAAATTGAATGATCTTTTTTATTCTCAAGACATAGAATCATCTCCAAGATAAAACCGGTTATTTCTTTGGAAGACTTCTCTACTAGTGGAATCACACTAGATCTGGAGACTATACAGTAAGGTCAGGATATTGGTTTGCTGAAAAAGACTCCAACAAGGATTATATATGGTCTCTTGAAACAGCTCCCAAGATAAAAAAAAAAAAAAATTCTTTGGAAAGCAATTAGCGGAGCTCTTCTTCTCTGTGGCTGATAATCATACAGACAGAGGTATGAGAATCGACACAAGATGTCAGATCTGTGGTTTGGAAAGAGAGACCATAAACCATGCTCTGTATACTTGCTAGCCTTAAAAACCTCCATTTTTTGACTCAATAATTTTTGCAAGTGACGACCATGACCTAAGGTATAGTCGTTACTGTATATCTATGTAGACATATTATCTTTGCATAAACACTACAACGAAGATAGTACACTTAACCACAAGTTTGCAGGGAAAATAGATACGAAGTCAATAGGAAAATGCTTCAGACAAAAACAAAGACCATAACAAAAAGAAAAGAGAATTTTCACACAATGCTTTTTCATCTACTACTTACTATAGTACTAAAACGTTTTACCGAAACTGAGAAACGCAGTCTTTATTTTCTTCAACGTCCATCCACAGAAGTGAACGAGTCAGCAAATCCAGATGGTCGCGTTGGGATACTCGTCTGTGTATTGTCTTTACTTCCATAAACCGAGGACGAAGAACCAGAGTCATCTCCCGTTTGGCTAAGCCCTTCAGAAGCTTGCCATTTCTTAACTGCCTGCGGAAGGGGAAGATCATAGTCTATACCATAGAGATCATCAGGATCAACCTCAGTGGGTTTCCATTGGACTGTGAGTGAAGAAAGAACGTTAACGATGTGAGACATGTCTGGTCTTTGGTAAGGCTCACGTGCACAGCAATGGCCAGCAAGCTCCCAGACTTTTTCAACACTAGCCAAGGTCTCTTCATCGAGTTTGATGTTTGGGTCGATTGCGTTTTTGAAGGCGTTTTCGTCTTTGTCTTTGCTTGCTGCTACACGACGGAACCATGTGACTAGATGGACGCTGTCTTCAGGTTGCGTCTCATCTAAGGCTTTACGACCAGTGATAAGCTCCATAAGTATGACTCCGAGGCTGAATATGTCTACTTTGGTCGTCACTCTTCCAGTCACTGCCATAATCAAAACAACAATAACGATCAAAATATGAAACATGAGACATTAACAGTTAGGTAGGGATCATCAAATGCAAACCTGCATATTCTGGGGCAAGGTATCCGAAGGTCCCAGCGACTCTAGTCTCGATGGAGTATTTGCCTTCAGGGGCTAAACGGACTAACCCAAAGTCTGAGACTTTAGCTCTCATATCATCACCAAGAAGGATGTTTGATGGTTTTAGATCCCTATGGATGAAACTCTGATGTGCAAGCGTGTGTAGATACTCAACACCTCTAGCTACATCCAACGCAATAGCCAACCTTCTAGTCCAATCAAGAGGCTTACGCTCTTCTTCTTTCCAGTGGAACAGATGCTGACTCAAAGTTCCCTGTGGCATGTACTCATAGACAAGAAGCCTCTCGTTACCATCAAGACAGTACCCAAGAAGCGCAACAAGATGACGGTGACGCATTTTAGTCAAAACAGTGATCTCAGATTTGAACTCAGCAAGTCCCTTATCACTCACAACAGAAGACTCCATCCTCTTCACAGCTATCTTCGTCCCATCGTGGAGTTCACCTTTGTAAACTACACCAAAACCACCTCTCCCAAGGATATTCTCTTCACTGAAGTTGTTAGTCACACTCCTCAAAACCTGTATAGATATAACCAAGTTCCCAGACTCCACCACATGAATGTCACTGTTTGCACTTCCGCTGTGACTGTAAGAGCTCTCCGTTCCTCCTCCTCCTCTCCCATTGTTAAGACTAGAAGCTGCAACAGTGAGTTTAATGTCATCACTATCACCAGAGTGCTGCGGATGAATCACCATATTAGTGTTTGGACTCTGAACTTTAGCCGGCCTCATTCTCTTCTTCGCGTAAAGACAAACACCAAGTCCAACAATACACAACGCACCAACAACACCACCAACCACAGGAACTATAATCCTCACACTACTTGATTTCTTCGAACTCTCGTTTCCACTACCACTACCACTACCACTCCCTCCTCCAGAGTCTTCACTTCCCCCTGTAGCTCCAGGAGAACCACCAGTAGGTGACACAGGTCCCTCCTTCCCAAAGTTAACATTACCAGCAGTCACCACATTAACACTTCCCCTAAACTTCGGCAACTCACCACTTATATCATTATTAGACACATCCAATGTCCTAAGCTTAGACAACTTAGTAAGCTCCTCCGGTATACTCCCATTGAGATTATTATTCGAAAGATTAATAGTCTCCAACGAACTCAACTCCGCGAAACTCGGAGAAATCGTCCCCTTCAACCCCTGCCTCCCTAAATTAACCACAGTAACATTACTTCCAGAGCAAGTAATCCCAATCCAACCATCACACGGATCATTCCCTTTCCAACTCTTCGCCAACTCCACCGGATACCCAAACCCCTCAGCTATAGACACCAACGTACTCACACGCGGATCACAAGCCACACCAGGAGTATCCAAACAGAAGCTATTCGTCTTAACCACCACGTCAGCACTAACAAACTTCCCAAACAACGGCGTCGGTCCTTGAAAATGGTTATTAGTCAAATTCACAACCGCAAGCGAGTCAAGACTCGAAAACGACGTCGGAACAACCCCTGTCAACTGATTCTCCCTCACGTTAAACAGTCTCAAAGACTGTAAACCGGAGAGATCAGGAATCGGACCTGAGAAATCGTTCCCTTGTAAATCAATCTCGACGAGTGACGTCATATTCGCCAGCACCGAGATCGATCCGTTAAGCTTCCCTCCGTTGAGGTAAAGCTGCTGCAACGAGGAGCCTGCGAAACTCAACGGTAACCCCCCGTGTAGATTATTACGGGATAGCTTTAATGAAGAGAGGCTCGGAAGCGTCTCGGAATTAAAGAAATCGGGGATCGAACCCGTGACGTTACAGTTAATTAAAGATAAGTTCTTAAGCGACGTCGCTTCTTTAATACTCTCGGGAATCTCCCAGGCGGGGAAAGGGTTGTTGTCGAGGTAGACTTCTTGTAACGAACTCATCCCCGAGAAGAGATTGATGGGAGTCGAGTCGAAGAGGTTGTCGTGGAGGTTTAGCGTCTGGAGGTGAGTTAGAGAGGAGAGATCGGGGATCGGGCCGGAGAGTTTGTTGGAGAAGAATTCGAGGACGGTGAGTTCGGTGAGTTTTTGGAGGTTTGGAGGGAGGGTGCCGCGGATGGATTTTTGTTTGAGTTGGATCCGGGTGACGCGGTTGGTTCCGTCGCATTGGACGGTGTCCCATTTGCACGGGTTGGGGTTTGACCAGTCGATGTCTGATGTGAGGTTGAGGGAGGATTTTAGGGATTGCATGATTGTTGCGTCGTCTTGGGAGGAGGTGAGAGTTAGTAGGGAGAGGAGGAGGAGGAGGAGGTAAGGATGATGAGATCTGGTCATTTTCGGTAGTGAATCGAGAATTCTAGGGTTTTACGGTGACATTGAAGAAGGAGAAGAGAAAGGGAGAGAGAGATAGATTGAGAGATGGAATCGGCGGAGATAGAGGAGAATTAAAGTAGGGATCATAAAAGCATTTCCTTCTTTTTTTTTTTTTTTCTTACGAGGAGATACGGAAAAAAATAAATTAATTTTATTCTTCTGGAGAAAAAAAAAGATGAATTATTAAAGTAATTGTTTCTGGGGACTACTCGAGAGAGTGTTGTGTGTGGGAGAGAGAAAGTGTCTTATTCATAATCACTCCTAACTATTTTTTTTTATTTTATTTAGGTGGTGAAATGTTATGACTACAGCTGGCAAGCTGCGTAATTAAGTGGTAAAACAGTATAAAATCAAGGAAAAATACGTTTAATATTCGCTTTATTTCAAATCATGTTCTAGAAAAAAAAATTATTTCATAAATTAGGTTTTCTATATTTTCAATGTATGTTAAATTATAAATAGTATTTGCAATCCATACACACACAAAACCTCATATTTAACTCTATACCCTATTTCCCCATTCTCTCTCTTCCCTCATTACTATTTTTCCCCCCAAAATAAGACAAATACCTAAATACCTTATTCTTCTAGTATATTGAGCTAAATTTTATAAATTTCAAAGTATATAATTGTGTATCTTAAATTTCCTTATATATTTTTTTAATAAATATGAAAATTTTAAAACATGAAATATTCTGAAACAGAAAATATCTAAGAGCAATAATATTACATTTATGTAAGATAGAAACGATTGACTGAGTGAATGACATTTGGTAACTCTCTGACCACTTTTTAATGCTAAGAAGGAAACAAAAATCTACTGATCAAGATGAGGGAAATGATATGGTCTTCTTCTTGGTTTATTATTCTCTTGCATCTATCTCTATGATTGAATTTTTGGGCTTATTCGTTACCACTGATAATGTTGATTGTCTTACATAATTTGAATATCGTCTATAGATCTTGGATTTTTCTTCACATTATTTCCATGGCTTCTATAAAAGAATATTATTATTTTCTTCTATTAGCTTTTGTGTGAGAAACAGTATAATGCGTGATATGTATCTGTTGACTATTATAACAGCATTTAATATGGTGACGGTGGTATATAATTAATCACGGTCAAATTAGTAGGAGAAATCATCATCGTAACGTGTTAAAGACAGGCTAAGATACGGCGATTTCTTTATTTAATTATTAATTTTATTTATCCACGAGTCGCGATTTCGTGAGTAATCTTAGCAGTTCTATTTTTTTTTTATCTTTCAACGAATATAATAAAAAAATATCTGAGGATTAAATATTAATGAGTCATTAGAATGGTCTTATCTTCTCACTAATTAAGCCAACAAGATAAATGCGATTCGTGGTCCTGACAAAAAATATAACTGTAAAGACAGACGCCGTGAAATCCGGAAGCTCTTAGCCACGCATTATCTTGATATTCGGCGGATTGTATAACGGTCGTTATCTTACGCCGTTTACTTTTTAATTTTCTTTTGGGGGTCATTTGATGCTGAGTATGTTTTTTTGATGGATTAATAATCACTGACCAGTTTCACGATAATCTAATACTATTCGCTAACTATGGTATTGAATGTTTGTTGTATTGTTTTCACTGATACAAAATATGAATGCCATTAAAATAATTAAACCTATATTCAACATTAAAAACTATGTTTAACATTAAATATAGTACAAGTCGAATATGGAGCATTACTGTATTAGTAGATAAAAAAAGTAGTTGAGAGCAAGTAGCTAACAGTAACGCCGTTGTATTATACGAACCAATCATATATATTTGTTGACAACTTAAGTTTATTTCACGAAATGTAGAATGGGACACTTATTTATGTTATAGAAAAGGATGGTAAGAGTACGTGAGAACAACTAGTCTGCAACGTTTTCAGTGACGAATCAACCACACTTATTTCACTTCTTCTACTATATCATTAACAATTTAAATGAATACAATTGTATATAAATTACTTATCAGCTGAAGTAAACAATAATCATATTTTAAAAGAACCGAAATTAAACAATTTAGATAATAAGTTCGGTCATCATTTAGGAACACGAACTAGTGGTTCAATTATGTTGTTAGGACATTATTTTGGCTATGAAAACTAGAGATGTTGTCAAATATGTTTGAGGAGCTGATGAACTAGAACCTAATTAATGAAGTTCATTTGAAGGATTTAGAAGCATTTTGCTATGAAATGACGTGACAATTATGCACATATCTGTTGTCACCTTTTTTATGTAGTTTGTAGAATAATCTTTAAGAAAAGGATGATGTTTTCTTGAGTTTAGTGAGTAGATGGTTCTAAATCTACCAGAGGCAAAGACAATGAGGAGGACAGATTGTCGTGTATCGATGCATGAAGCCGACAGAGGCTCGTACCTACACATGACTTCCTTGTCTTTTGCAATCACAATCACTCATCAATAACTCCACATGATTATAAACCAAACTCCAAAGACAGAGCCACGTAAAAACCAGTTCAATTAGTAAATCCAAAAGACCCTTCAAGAAGCTTGTACTTTCTCAAGACATACTCAATCTCATGAGTCAGATTTGGCCAACTTATCAATTGTTAATTAGGCTACTCCGCTTATCACATCTCCGTTAGGTAATTAATTCAACACAACAAATGTTTTCTGCAACCAACTAAAAATCTCCAATTCTTCTGATCTGAACACGACGAAAACACATGAGAAATAACCACAATCTTGAGTCTTCACGCCTAGGACGATCTTAGACATCGCTGATCCTTTCCTTCCTTGACTTCATGACTTCTGTAGCCAAAAGAAGGTTTCTAACAGCAACCAAACACACAGACTGCTCCATCGTACTAATCACCGTTTTCAGTTAACTTTCTGTGAGGTGTCGACATTGGAAAATGATGTTCTCTATCACAAGACTGATACGAGATTATGGTTAGAAAGATTAGGGTACGATAATGGGTGTTTTAGTTTTGGTGTTTTATTTTATTAATTACTGTATTCTAATTTACTTTAAATGTCAGTGTTTTTCTTTTCTTTTTCTTTTTTGCATTAAGGTTTGGATTAAGTTGTATCAAGACTCTATATAATGGTTTCATATATGAACTTTCAAGAATCAACTTAATTTCTAAGGGACTAAATTCTACATTGCTCCACTCACTACCATCTTCATTCTATTTCAACCCATCATAAATTTGATTTTTTTTTTTTGCTCAAAGTCTAAGTATGGTTAAAAAATCAATTACCCTTAATGAATCAGTATTATGTGTAATATGAATTACTAGAAACTACTTTGAATTACTTTGAATTACTAGAAACTACCTTAAATTACTAGAAACTACTATGAACAAAAAACAAACTACCTTGAATTACTAGAAACTACTACGAATAAAAAAAAAAAAGTGGGGCAGTGAGAAAAATGGTAGGGTAGTTAGAATAGTTATTTTCCAACTGGGGTATATCAGAATACTTTCCATTTCTTTCTAAAAGAGGTTAAGTTAAAAGAAAGTTGTATTTTTGGTTCACACCATAGACACTAAACCAGAGTTCTAACAACTTTTCCTTCACAGCCAAAGCTGCAGCCTGAATACGCTTGAACATGTTGTCTTCATATGCTTTCTTGATTCACCTAAATCAAAACTCAGCTTTACCATGTTTTCTAAGAACCTCTTCAACTTGTTTACAAACACTTCCACCTTGCAACCATAATTGTTTCAAAGCTACTAGACCATCTCTGCAAAACCTGTAAGAAAATCCTCTGTCCATGTGTTCTGTCACCCTCCGGTCATCATCATCTATTGCAGTTCCCAGTGACTATTGAATGAACCAATATTTATTATGGTCTTCAAAATAAATAAAAACAAAAGGATTCGGTACAAATCGAACTCCGGTTAAGGATTAATATCAACACTAAACCGTCGTTTCACAAACATTACTATTACTGGTCAAAACCAAACTCTCAAAATCTCTGATAACCCTATATGTACACACGACACGAACCAACCAAGTTGCATGTTTTTTTATCTCTTCCTTCTTCGTCTTCAACTTTGGCTACATGATGATGAATCTGAGATTGGGTTAGCTTTGAATGATTTGGCAACAGACTTGTATAGATTCTCTTCTTCAAATGGCTTAGAGACATAACCATCCATTCCACTCTTCAGACACTCCTCGTACGTTGCGTGGATCACATCAGCTGTCATGGCTAGAATCGGTAAATGCCACTCCAGCTTCGTCTTCTCTTTAGCTTCCTTCTCCATCATCCTTATCTGACGAGTCGCTTCAAACCTAATAACAAAACCAAAGTTAAAACCTTATCCAAACCAAACCTAATGAGTTTTAAAAAGCTTTACCCGTCCATCTGTGGCATTTGAATGTCCATGAAACAAGCATCGAAACTATGTGGAATCTGAAGCAAACCCAAAGCAACTTGACCACTCTCTGCACACACCACTTCTGCTCCAAACTTCTTCAGAGCTCCTGCAGCTACTCTTCTGTTAACCATATTATCATCAACCACAAGAATCTTCTTCCCTGTAAGCAAACTCTTTAGCGTTGCTGGTGATGATCCTTCAGGATGATGTTGTCTCGTCTTTCTCAGCTCAAGAACTTGCTGTAAACAAGCACCGATCATGCTTGCTCTCAATGGTTTCATTATCACCGTATCCGCAAACCCTGCGGATTTAGCTCTGTCGAACTCTGAGTTTGTGATGTTTGTTGCGAAAAGAGCGAGTTTTGGTGTCTTGTGATGCACGTTTCCGTTGGTTCTTGTGTTTAGTTGACGTATCTCTGAGTCTATATCTTCAGTTGAGATCCATGAATCTTTCTCTACTAAGATCATATCAAGTTGCGGCTTTGTTGTTCTGCAGAAAAAGATTTAAGCTTTAAATGGAAACAACACAAATGAAGCCAGAGGCCATTAGCTCAACTAGAAAAGATCATGGCCATTGTGTCAGAAGTCCCTAGTTCAAGAGACCGCTGGGGCAAAACTAATATTACATGTTGTGGTTTCGGGCTTTGGAGTTTACGGGTTACCCTGCGATTTCGGTTTCCGAAGCCGAACAGAAGCGGATTTTCGGTTAACCAAAATTTTGAAAAACAATTCTGAAATTAACCGAATTTCATTTCGATTTGATTTGGTTATCGGGTAATTTCGGTTTTCAATTTTATTTCCGAAATAATGGATTTTTTAATTTTTTTGGTTAGAATTCGGTATAACTTTCTTTTAAAATTTGGTTATTTCAGTTATTTTGGGTAAACTGAACCAAAATCCGAACCATTTTTCAAAACCCTACCAAACTAAACCGAACTCAAGACCATTTCCAAACCGAAAACCGGAATTTTGGTCAAAAATTAATTACGGACTTCGGCTCCAAACCTCCTAGTATTTTAGAAAGAAAAAAAAGCACAAATGAAAGAAGAGATTGAATTTTTACCCTGATGAGAGAGTAGAACCGTTTCTTCCAGAGAATCCAGACGCAGCAGCAACACTAGAAACAGCGGTTCTGAGACTTGTCATGACATCTACATTGATACCAAGTCTTTTCATATGGTATCTAGTCACAGCAGCTCTAACAGGCTTAGCATCAACAACAATAGCTCTCATCCCTCTAAAAGTAGAAGGCAAATTCTCAACCGCAGGCTTCTTCAGATGATTACTCACACTGCACTTATCACATCTCTCAAACACAGCAGTGAACCAGAACGTGCTACCAACGTGAGGACGGCTCACAAAACTTATCTGACCACGCATAAGCTCGACAAGACACTTGCTTATACTCAAACCAATCCCAGTGCCTCCATAGGTTCTCGAAGTGGAGCTATCCGCTTGCATAAACGGCATGAAGACACGTCCTTGTGCAGCTAATGGGATCCCAATACCTGTGTCTTCGATGGAAACCATGAGCCTGACGTTACTTGACGTGTCGAACTCTGATGAAAACTCCTCCTCGGAGACTAAGTGTTTGAATGAGTCCCAGCTGTTTCGACCATCTGCTGCTTCGTAACCGCTCAACGTGTTGTAACTTGAGGGTTTGGAAACAGCGGTTATATCTTCAGACGCTCCTCCGTTCAGTGCGGGTTTGGATTCAGCTCCTTCTTTTGATTGTTCTGCAAGATGGACTTTGACAAAGATATGTCCTTTCTCTGTGAACTGTAAAAAAAGACCTCATCTTAGATCAAAACAACAAACGGGGGACAAGAATAAGGCTGGGATTTTGAACCAAACCGACCAGGAATTTTGGTTAATTTGGTTAGGAGTTCGGTTTGATTCAGTAGGTTTTCTAAAAGTTCGGGAATCGGTTACTTCGATTTTCTTAATATGTACTCCATCCGTTTCAATTTAGTTGTCATTCTAGATTTTTTGCACACAGATTAAGGAAACATTTAATTTTACATATTTTCAAGATAAAAACACAATTAACTTTACAACTAACCACTTTTCAACCAATAAAAAAGTAAATTTTGTCTCGAAACTCTAAAACGACACTTAATTTATAACAAAAAATTAAGCCTAGAATGACAAGTATTTTGAAACGGAATGAGTATATTTTATAACCAAACTATACCAAAAACTCAAATCGCAATAACCAAATTCAAACCAAAACTAACCAAACTTATCCGGAATTTTAACAAAATTAAACTAAAATATAACCGGAATCAAAAACTTTGGTAAGATTTTCAAAAACCAAAGTAACCAAATACCGAACCGAACTTTTACTTTGGGTTAATTCTGTAAGATTTGTGTTGAACCGAACTAACCCAAAACCGAACTAGCATGCCTAGACAAGAACATAAGAAGAAAGGAACTAACTTTAACCGAGTTTCCAACGAGGTTTATGATGATCTGTCTGAATCTCCCAGAATCTCCTTTGACTATCTCTGGTACCTTGTCTGAAACGAAAACCGCAAGCTGCCACATTCAAAATCAAGAAAGTTAGTAGCAAGAACTAACAAAAGGACTTTCTTTATTCATTTGGAGAGAAAACACTTTTACCTCAATGCCTTTGTTCCTTGACTCCTCAGAGAACAGAGAAAGAACATCATCTAATATTGAACGGATATCAAAAGGTACAGATTCCAATTCCAGCTTGCCAGCTTCGATCTTAGCACGATCAAGAACCTCATTTATCAATGCAATCAAAGCTTTACCACAAACTTGTGCGGTTTGAGCGTAATCTCTCTGAGTAGAACTAAGTTCTGTATCAAGAAGCATAGCAAGCATGCCGAGAATGCCATTCATAGGTGTCCTGATCTCGTGAGAGACAGTGGCAAGAAACTGTGATTTAGCCACATCAGCAGCTTCTGCTCGGACCTTGAGCTCTTGCATTTCATGGAAATCATCTTCAACTTTAACTATATGCACAGCTGCACCATACAGTATGTAACCAACCAAGAAACCAATAGCAAAGAACAGTGGCACTGTTGTGAGTACATTCAACGGTATTGGCGCCTTTTGGAGGTACCTAATGTTTCAGACAAGAAGTCAATTTCTTAGATCTCAACAAGTCTTTTTTTAGATTAAAGATCTTACCTGCAAATCATCTTATGTTTCCTGAAAGGGTCTCCAAAATCAAGCTTGCTTTCATGATAGAGAGATGTGTCGCCTTCTTCATCTTGATTGCCATACATAACAAGTGGATCTGATGCATTGGTGATATCATATACATGCACTACTATTGCTTGGTTACCAGCAAGCTGACCAAGTAAATTCTCAACAAGAGACTCCACATCAAACGCCCCACCAAGGTACCCTGCAGTGGCTGCTATACGCTCCTGGACAGTAGGGTTTTTAGGAAGAGAAGCTGTGTAGACAGGGAAAGTCAACACAACTCCTAGATGGTGAGAAGCCAACAGCCTAAAAGGACTTGTCAAGACAGCTTTTCCTGTTTCTCTAGCTCTCAAAATGTTCTCACGATCCTCCTGCAAAGAAAAGTTTTCAGAACCTGTACAGTACAGAACCAGAAAGTATCTGCAATATTTACCTCGCCAGACATCATATCAAGTGACTCAAGGTAAGAGACACTATCTTGAGAGAATATGACAGGAGCATACTCATCCCTAACCGGTGAAGGCTCTCCTGTGTCCATTGTCTTTATAACCCAATTATGCTCACTCTCAAACATCTCCCTCTCATCATTCACAACTTTTTCAGCATAAGCCACTCCACTTAGCAAGGGTCTCTCAAATGCTGTTCTTGCTGTGTATTCCGCAAATGTCCCCTGCCAAAATGAGAATTTTTCAAAAGTCAACTAATGAATTATAAATCAAAGATTACCAAATCTGAGAGTTTTTGACTTTTTAATAAGACAAAACACTAACCTGATCTATTGCAGATGGATTCTTGTGGTAATGAAAGGTAGAGACAAGAATAGCCAAAGCATGAACATGATTAACACTAACACTAAACTGATCCTGCAACATCCTGGCTCTCTGATCACACATACTAACCAAAACCTCTTCTCTTCTAATCTTGTTAGTATTATCCATCCACTGATAAATCCCTCTGCTTATAAACCCAACAAAGATGGTCCACAGAATCAAACCCTTTTTCAACAACGCCCGGTGTTTCTGTATGAAAGTTGACCCCTTTTTATTACCACCACCCACTTGGTCGTTGTGACTGTTGTTCATCTTCACCGCCACTGAATGCTGAAGCTGCTGCTGCTGCATCTTGGCGAAACCCATTAACCCAGACCGCCAAAAATCGATTTTCTTGGGCTTTTCTGGTAAATCTATAGCTCCCAGATGGTAAAAATCGTTGCTTTGAGTAGTTATTGGCTCCTTTTCTTCAGGATGATGGTTGTTGTTGAGTGCCCAGTTCATATCTGAGCTACAAAAAACAAATGAATGGTAGTGAGTGAGTTATGCATTCATATAAACATAACAAGGCATGCCTAGTGGTATGATTAGAGCTTACCATGAACATTGTTTTGCGTGATTAGCAATATAATTAACAAAACAAGACCAAAAAGACTGTTTTTTTGGAAATTCAAGAAACTTTTTCTCAAACGCATGGGTGTCTCAAAAGAAGGGACTTTGCTCAGTTTCCGAAGGTTTTTCTACAGAGAAGGGAATTAGTTAAAAATAAATTAAAGAAATGGGGGGTTATTCACTTAATTAAAAATGTCAGAGAAATGATTAAACAAGACACTAATCATAAGGTTCTTTACAGGCGTGAAATGTTTAGTTGATGTTTCTTCTCGGAAACAAGTTCACAGCTATGTTCACTGTCTTAAAATCCATACAAGAAAAAAAAAAAAAAAAGCTTTGACTAAAGAAAGAACACACAAAACAGCAGAAGAACAACGAAGCACACAAAATTAAAAAAAAAATAAAAATAAAGCCGAAATTTTCGAGAATCGCACATGGATGGAGGAGAAAGACCAGAAAGTTTCTGAATTTTTTTTTAAAAACAAATAATTGATTTTGGTTACCTGTGATGAGTTGTGAAAGGATTGAACATTGCATTATTAAACCCTAAATATTTTTCTCATGAACATATTCAAAGCTATTTCCATTTCGAGCTCTTCTCTTCTTCTTCTTTCCTCTTTCTTCTTATCTTTTTTTTTTGTGTATATAGTTTTTTTTTTTCTTTGGTGAGAGATTTGTTGCTTTTAAAAGTAAAAAAATGAATCGAATTTTATAGATTTTCGGCAGATACGTTTCTCTCTCTCTCTGCGTCTATATCAGTTAAACCTCTTTTTTCAATTTTCTTATCTCTCTCTCACTCTGTAGCTACTTTGTGCTTTTTCTATCTCTCTATAACTTGAGTCCAACTTTGAAGAAGAAAAGTTTTGGACTTTTTTTTCTTAATGGCTCATGATTTGATCCAACAAAAGCAGTATCTCCCTCAAAAAATTATCGTGAATGTAATTAATTATTGCGACACTCGACTTGTCTTATTAGAGTAACTTAATTTCACTGTCTCTACCAATTTAATTAGCTTTTATACTAGTTTTTAGTTAAGCATGATGAAAAAATTGTCATTTATTGGGGAAATATATATTGTACAACTATTAGTTAATTGCGTTCTTGCCATAATGTTATTGGTTTATCATAAAATTTAAAACTTACAAAAATCAAACTATAAAAACATCTCCAAACATTTTAAGTCAAACCTATTACAATGCCTTAAGTTTGTATGAAATTAATTTATCAGTTACTGTCTTTACAGATCAAATATATGTTTTTCATGACAATTGAATATATATATATATATATATATATTATTTTGTGTAATAAACTATAGTTATCTAAAAAAAAAAGGAAAATTTTACCCTCTGAAAATAGAAATTTGTACGAAAGTCGCTATCGCATATCTTGGTGATAATGACATCGCGACAAAGCGCAGATCTGGCCCCAGAAGCATTTTCTTGATATACCAACATGGTAGCTACGTAATGACGCTACTACCCCGGTCATTTCATTCGTATAATGGGCCTGACTTTAAGCCCATTACAAAGCCACGTGTGATCTTCAAACAGTCCACCAAGTCATGAGATTTTGGTGCAAAGGACTGTGATTTTTTGTAAAAAAAAAAAGTGAACAAATTCCAATCTAATTTTCCTTCTAATCATCAATCACATGATATAATAAAAGATTTTTAATATGGAAATTTAAAAAACGTTTCACGCACATTTCACTAAAGTATGTATATTTGTGTATTGGTACATGATTCAATTATATTACGTTGACTAATGCTCCAAAATATATATATTCACTGATATGTATTTTAATAAACAACTTTTTGGTGTCATTGAAAACATCTTGTCAGACTGAACGAAAAAAATAATGTGTGAATATATCATACTAGTGTCAATGCATTGAAATTTTGCGTTTGAAATGTGAGAATTGGGTACTGAAAATGTTTCTTCTTGATATATTAATAATTGTTATTTTGTAGTTTATTGGGTGAAAAATCTTATGAAAAAAAAAAATTGTTAAGAAAAAAAAACTTATGAAAGAATATCATTTTTCAATTCTCTCAAATTTTGCGGTTCTTAGAGCATCTCCAACTGTGTTACTCCGTCAGAGTTTTTTAAATTTTTTTTTTGATTTTTTAATTATTATTATTTTGTTTTTTCAGATTCAAAAAATAAAAATATCAACTAATCGCAGACAGCCACGTGTTGTGGAGGCCTGTAAATAGTGTAAGGATTCGTTAAGAAAAAAATTTTATTTAAAGATTTTAAAGATTGAATTCTTAACTTTTTATCGGATTTACTGATTAATTAATTATATTTTTTAAGAACTTCTTCTTAATGACTTCCGTTGCGGATGCTCTTAGAAACACGAAACGTTGTTGTTAGTTCTCTACTTCTTTATAGCTATAGTGTTCACATCAGACTCTAATGGACTGGATCGTGATCCCTTACGAAACGGATGGGTTTCAATGCAGTTCGGGCTCGAGACTAGCAGCCTAACCCGAGTCTCGACCCAGTACCAACAACATGTTCTCCGACGTTAGATTCTAATAAAGCATCCATGTTCATGTAGGGACACACGATATTTTTGACAAGATCACTAATTTGTATTTTTATTCACGAAAGGTGTAAAAGTAGAATATATGGATTTGGTAGTACACAAAGAGGGAAAAAGAAAGGCACACAAAGGAAGTGGTGCTATAAAAATGTGTGTGTGTGTCGGCCATGTGGTATTCATGTTTGACTTTGTATCATTAACCCATTTCGTGGTTACAAATTATCGTCTTCTATTTGGATTCTAAAAGATTTTGTAACAATTATATATGTATATTCAGTTTTTGTATTTACTCTCAAATTATGTCTTGGCCACATGCTCAGCAATCACTAAACCGGTTCATTTATATAAACAATATCAAAACCAATCCACCGGGCTAGTTTTACCACAGCACCGTATAGCTTCATAAGCTAAATTAGTTGTGTTTTCGTAATCTAGTATTTTGTAGCATTTATAACGTTTAACAATTCACACAAAGTGGTTATTAGTTGAAGTTTTACGAGTCAAAAAAGCAGTCTAGCTAGGCATAATCGTCCTTTCTTCAGAGGTTAAATAAACAATCACGATTTAATAATTACTATCTCAATCAACCATAATTCAAAAGTCCAATAGAATATTCTATAGAGATAAGATCAACTTCATTCATTAAATATCATATCCTATGTTAAAGTATAATTATCACTCTTAAATCAACATCGATCAATGATTCTTTGACCGAGAAAATTGTCATTGTAACTAGGTGAATCCAAAGATTTCACACTCAGACTGAAATGGTTCTAATATTCTATATATTTTCAGTGTAAATTATTGTTTGGTTTTTGTTAGAGTTATTCCATACCTTGGTTTGTAAATAATAGTATCTACGAATTTAGTTCAACTTTAAAAAATATTAAAAGTTTAATTATGTTTAGTAATTCATTTGTATTTATTTTATTATTAAATCAACTTTTCAGAGTATGACAAGATAAATTCTTGTCTAAAAAAATTATCAACTTCAAACAAAAAATCAAATAAATATAAATATTTGAATGAATAAAGAAAGTGATTTAAATTTCATGAAATAAACCGAACTAATCAAGATTATTGACTAAAAGTTAATTTCTTATATTAAATATTCCATCTGTTTACTAAGAATCATTTTAGTATTTTTATTGTTATATAAAAATATCATTTTATAATTTTATCACAATTCATATTTATTTTCAACTCGTTTTAGAATTTCAATACAATTTGTATTCATTGTCAGCTGAATATTAATGGTAAAATGCATAGATCTAATAAATATTATTGGTTAAATAAATATAATTAATGTAAACATAAATACATTTTAATAATTTTTAGTATATGTGAAAAATGTCTAAATAATACTCTTATGAAACATATGGAGTATATTTAAACTATTTTAAATATATAAATTCAGATAAAATTAATTATTTTCGTTTTTCTATAATCTGTTTCTTATTACCAAATCAAACTGAACACATAACTTTAACAAAACTGTTTAAAACCTACTGATATAAAATTTGATTTGAATGGAACTTCTTTCTGTAGACCCAAAATTTTGAAAATTTGAATATCTAATAAGAGATGAACCCAATAATCAAATGTCCACCATGTTCTGGATACAAGTTAAGTCCATTTAAATCATATTTGAATATGATTCGTTTAACAAGAAGTGCTTGCTGCTGGGCTTTAAAGGATATATTTAAACTGGGTAGGTGGTTCATATTTGTGTTGGTAGCAGTCTATTAATTAACGTATAGGGCTGGGCCGGTTTCAGAAAGATATATCTCATAGTTAGCACATGTATATTAATTAAGATTAATTTTAGAACATGATAAATGATATGTACATGCTAAACGAAACTAAAGTCAACGGCTAACAGCAGACATATTACATAATCGCGGCTGCTTATTACACTGCCGATTTGTTATTCCGAATAGACCCAAATCGCAACGCTTGGCCTGCAAGTAGCGTTTCGGCGGCCGCAAAGGCCGCGTTTTTGAACATGTTCTACATGCTAAACGAACTAACGTCAACGGCTAATAGCAGACATAATCGCGGCTGCTTATAAAGATATAAGAGAATGGCAAGTTGAATTACTATTAATAATAACTAGGAAACCATCTCGCGCGTAAACGCGCAGGAGAAAATATGTTTTTTTTTTTAAAGTAATTTTTATATAATTTATATTTGTTAGTCAATCATTTTGAATCATTTAATAAACTAATTATTTTGTACGAGAATCAATAATTAAAAAATAATCTTATATAATAGAAGAGTGAAAGTATAATATGTGTTTGAAAATGTATAAATTTAAATGTTATGTGTTTAGCATAACAATATTAAGTAAACTTTAATATTAAAGTCGCAGTCATTTTCTTTTATCTTTTTTATATATGAGAAGATAAACTTTTAAATTTGTTGAAATGATGGAACAGTTTAAACCTTTTAATTAAATAATATAATATGTTTTAATACACTGTAATTAACATGCAAAGAACGACATTTTTAAATCTATGACGCTAAGTACCTCCATACAAACTGGATTAGAAAAACAAAAAAAAAATGGACTTTATCAGAAGAAGAATAAGAGATTATAAAAAAATAGGTTGTTTTCTTACAGCCAGATTGGTTTGGATATGATAGTTTAGTTTCGCTGAAACTAAACGTATTAAATTATTTTTGCAGACACCACATTAAATTTTTAAAGATCGTTTAAAACTATATAATGAATCAAACATTATATTCAAGAGTACTAAGAATCATACCTATATTAGAAAAAAAACACATAAATTTTCTTAAAAAATCGCATCTGTAAAACATTCTATTTATAGTAATTTGAAAAGGTACATTGATAGATTATCAAGAGTTGTGTTTTGTTTTAAAATGAATATTTTCAAGAGTTGCAAGGAAAAAAAAGTTCAACCAAATACATTTTCAGGACCATTAGATAGAACCATAATAATTACAACCACGAGACTGAAACTCTTCAAAAAAAATTTTAAAAATCAAGAATTAGGGAAAAATATGACTCTTCAAATTAAAGAGATGTGTTGTTTGAAAAAAAATAACTGCTCATAGCAATTTTAATTTAAGTATAAAAAAAATATTAAGACCAATAGAAGAAAAAAAAAACAATTATAACCAAAGATTGTAATCCTTCAAATATGAAAAAGTATGACTCTTTCATGTAAAAGATGTGTTGTTTGAAAAAAAAATATGTTAATGCCATAAATATCGTATGTCTAAAAAA